TCCTTGCCCACACCAGCTAGGGTGAAAAGGCATTTTGTAAATTACGTTGTGAATGATGTTTGACACTTTCGTGTTTATCATTTTGTTTGGGAGGTAAAGCAAAGCGAGAAAGCAAAGCGCACAGCTCCTTCGTCACCTCCACGAGAAGAGAATCTTCCAAAGGAGAATCTTTGGGCCAAAGTGACTAAGAAGTCGAAACAATGTTGTAGATTTTGGGTGCTTCCGAATGATAATTAATTGTCAACTTCTCAAATCCCAATCCCAGGACTCTACCTTGGAGGTTACAAAGGCCGAGTTTGTTTGTTGAAACACAATTCATTGGAAGGCTGTCAAATTATGTCAAGTAGCTTCCAATAAGAAGGCAAGACTTTGATTTTGTATCGAGCATGTCATGTGTAATTCCTGGGAACGATCGAAGCAAAGGCTGCTGCTGCGCCTGAAGCTGTCTCTTCTGCTGTGGTGGCCAAGGCAGTATTGAAGGAATTGAAAAGAATTGAGTAAGTGGGAAGAATGGAGCAATTGGGAGAGGAAAGCACACCATTGCATTCTTGAAACCAACCCCTCACAATGGACAGGTTCATGTTGAGATCGTCATTGCTCCGGCGTAGCGGAGAAAGCGTTGTTTTTAAGGGTAGTGTCGTCCAAGGCCAGATGTGTTTCATGACTTGGCACAGGAATGGCCAAGACCGAAGACATGCACATGCCAAAAAGAAAAAAAACGGGTCGAAAGACAAATTTAATTTCAAGTAGTAACAGGTGCCTTACTAGTAACAAGAAGCTAGTAGTAACAGGTGCATCGCTAGTAGTAACAGGTGCCTTACTAGTAACAAGAAGCTAGTAGTAACAGGTGCATCGCTAGTAGTAACAGGTTTGCTAGACTTGGCAGCATTGGAGTGAAAGTTGCTTCTTCTCCAGGCACCTCAAGTGTCGTTTTCATCGTCCAAGCGGATTCCCAAAGCAGGCCAAAACTGTCAGAGTTCCTTGTGGACAGAAGCTCTTGGCAAAGTCGTTTGCAGTTCTTGCAAGAATTGTTTCATGTTTGTCTTGAAAAGCTTGTGTGTTTTCTCAATTGTCCATAAATTATTGTCTTTTCAATGATCTGTTTCCTTGGTTTCAGTTCTTGTGTTTCTTCTTCCTCTCCAAGCCAATAAGGTTTATCCACTTATAGTGACTCCTCGGAGATGAAATTGCCAGGGAATTACTTGGTGGAACTTCGAAGAGAAAAACCCAGTGACCGGTGGGGAAGCCCAGTGCAACGAGGTGCAGTGCTCGAGGGGCCAAGCAATGGTGCAACATGCAACGGCGTTGCGTACTTCAACACTTTTACTTCGTACTTTATCTCTAGACTTTTAGATTCTCACAAGATAAAAAACGAAAATTGCCGAGAAGGTATGGCTTTGCATGGGATGCCTGAGACTCAGTCCAAAAAGTCACACCATTTTCTCGTTCGCTTTAGACTGAAAGGTGAAAAGAAGGAAACGGAGAAAGCCCTAGGCCAATGCACTGGAGAAGCAGAATCTTCGCGTTGTCAACAAGGCATCAAAAGCTGACTCGCATCAAATCTCATTCCTTGTTCTTCAAGCTGTGTGCTGAAGATTAGTTTTCGGTTACATGGCTTTATATACATGTTGACTCAGATTAAGTCAGAAGGTTACAGAGTATCGCTGCTTTGGAATGCTTTGAATGCGGAGGTTTTGCCTGGTACCTTAGCTGCAGCTTGGAATTCCTCCGCTCCACTAGGCGAGGATGTCGCCACAATGATGTTTTGTATAATTGTTTTTTGTGAGTGCTCAAATGTTCTCTCTCGCTGTGACATTTAAAGACTTGTATGTTCGCAAGGGGAATTCACAGGTGCACCAAAGCTTTTGCAGGTGCCACATACTCTGTATGATGTTCCATGTAGTGGTAGAGATTCCAAGTTTCTCAAAGGTGTCGGAGCGTATGCTGATTGTATTTGATGTACCAAGTTTCACAATTTTAAGTAGTCAAGATTATATTTTGGAGTCAAGAATGTGATCATGTGAGGTGTAGTGTAATTCTGAGAGAATCATGTGGTACTGTGACTTGTGATGCAGTGAGGTGTACTGTCGTGATTTTTCACTGTTAGACTGTTAGATATGTTATGTTCAATTGGCTATTTTGTTGGGATGCAGCATCAGCAACTGTCCATTTAGCCGGCAGAGGGGTCATGTGTATGAATATGATTGAATATGAAGGGTTCAAGGAATACATGCACCAGTTTAGCACTCGGGCAACTTTTTGAGCAGGATGTCCTCCTTATTTGCAGACCCTAAGAGCCCAGTAAGAGAGTCCAAGCACTAAGTAAGGACTCAGACTCGACAATCCCAACAATTAATTTGAGTTGAATTGAGATATAGCATTCCACATACTGCTGGCCTCATGCTGCAAGAACTCTTCCAGACGAGGTTCAGTCCCCAATGTTCCAAGTGAAAGCATGACGGCAGAAACACTGCCCTCAACACCTTTCAACGAGCAAGACAATGTCATCAAAACTCAACGTCCAAAAGCAGACCTCTCAGTTGGGTTTGATCAAAATTGGCTATATATCAAGACCGACCCACGTGTTTGGAGGACCTCCAAGAATGTCCGCTTGAAGGCATGTTTTACAATAGGTATGTTGAGAGTCAGGATTAGGGTGAAGTGGAGTCTTCCCGTAGAAATCCCTAAGCCTCGGGCTATCACGGTTCAAATCTGTGTGTGTGTTGTTTTCTGTGTCCACACTCAACGTCGGCGACTATATAGCGAGTCTCATAGGGGTCCTGAGTTGGAAAACTGTTCAAACATTTGTTGCAGGTGGAACGGAGAAAGAAAAAGAAACACAAAAGAGAAGCATATGTTAAAATATGTTAAACCATATGTTTTAAGATATGTTTTTTGATATACATCTATATATAAAGAAAAGAAATCGGCAAAAGATAAGTTGAGTTTCCCAAATAAATTTGGGTTCTTCAAGGAAGAAGCTTCGTTAGTTAGCCCTTACCGTAAAGTTGAAGAAGCCCACCAGGTCGTCGTTGGTGGCGTGCAGGGAGATGTCCGCGGGTGTTTGGGTGAGGTAGCTGTGGAAGTGGTGCCAGAGTTGTGGGATGGAAAGTTGTCCTGGATGTTGCGGGTAGAGGTGTTGGAGTATAATGTCAAGGGCACGGCTGGTGATACGTAGGAGGTTGCCGGTAAGTGAATGAAAGTATGAGATAATGGTGCGGCCTTTCTGCCAGTGCTTTTTCTCCTTGAGGTGAACCACCCCATAGGGAATGTTGAACTCCTTGCGGAAGCCCCACTTGTAGCGGGTACGGAGGATGGGTGGGACCGTGGCTTTGAGATGGTCGTGGATGTTGGCGGCTGTAAGGTGGGGAAGTGGTTCAAAAAGTTCAGGGGATTGCCATGTGTTCAGAGCTCCGGTGAAGTATTGGCGGGGGCAGAACAGTCGGAGTTGTTGTAGTTCATGGTCAGCATGGTGAAGTACTGTGTGTGGGCCGAGAAGTTCTTGGAGTTGACGGAGCAAACGAGCTGTAAAGCGGGTTTGTTGTTTGAGATGGGTGTTGTGGAGGCGCCATTGGTGCGCGAGGAAAGGTTCCAAATGCTGTACGAGGGATGGTGGTAGCCCTTGGAGCTTGAGCCACTTCGTGTATGCCGTTTGGAAAGTGAGGAAGTAACGGGCCTTGCTGGGGTAGTAGGTGCTATTCATGTTGGCGTTGAGGAAAATGGTGAGGTGCGTGGGAGTTGTAGTTGGTCCAAGGTGAGGATGTAGTGACCATTGGTGGTGGGTGTGTCTGGATCTTGGAGGAGAGTGCGAAGGTGGTTGCACGCACATGGGAGGTCTGCTGGATCAGGTGGTGAGTGGAGAGTGTCTTCCCAGGTCCGGTGATTGTGGAGCTGGGATCGTAGGGTCTTGTGAGCTGCTTCACGCATGCGATGGGATGGGAGGTGAAGGGGTATGGCCAAATGCTTGTGCTGCTGGATGGTGGTACGGAG